AGTAGACATCCTGCAGCTGAAAGTGCACTTTTCATTGTAAGTCAGCCTATGGCAGGATGAGGGCTTGTGTTTGATTTTCAGCACTTTCAATCCTATGGCTAGGGAGAGAAGATTCTCCTTCAGGGCACACTTAGAAGATTTGGGGCTGTTTATGTGCATGTGGAGCCAAGAATTTGAATCCCTGAGCTCATCTTTTTCTTTCATCACTTTGTCCAGCGATGTTAGGAGCAACCGACGAATGTCGTTCTCTACCTTTTTTTCCCACAAATGTTCAAAAGTATCATGTCCAGAGTCACTAAGTTCCTGGCTTCTTGTAAGTGGCACATTAAGAGTATCAAATGCATTTATTTTACAAATCTCTATTAGCAGTTCATGTCATGGACTATCAGTGCTCGCTGTACTATCAGAAGTAGAGTCCTTTGCAAATTTTTAGGTCTTATCAGATTAGACAGACAATTCCAGAAACCCCAAGGCCAACTAAGGAAATTCATTCTTAAAATTCTGTCTCTCTAGAACCATTTCTGGTACCCAAATCTGTATTAGTTAGGGTTCTCCAAAGAAATGGAATCAGTAGGATATACGGAAGGGGATTTTTGGGGAAAAGTTGACTCATATAGTCACAGAGGCAGAAATGCCCCACTTCAACTGCTGCAGAAGGTCAAATGTAGTACTCCATCTGCAGCTGGAAGCCAAAGAAGCTGATAGTGCGTCTCAACGTTGGTCACATATCGCCATTCAAGTGCAAAACCTCAGAACCAGGGAAAACAGTGCAGCCTTTAGGCAGACACAAGGTCCCCCAGAAAGTGCTGGTGCAAGTCCCAGAGTCCAAAAACCAAACAACCTGGAGTCTGATGTCCAAAGGCAGGAGGAGAAAAAATGTCCAGCTCTGGAAGAGAGAGAGAGAGAGCAGAGAGGGCCACTCCCCTTTCTTCTGCCCATTTGTTTCAGCCAGACCACCAGCCAATTGGGTGGTACCTGCCCACAAGGAGGGTGAATCTTTCCCCCTCAGTCCACAGACTCACATGTCAATCCCCTCTGGAAATACCCTCACAGAAACACCCAGGAACAATGTTTCACCAGCCATTGAGGCATCCCTCAATCCAACCAAGTTGACACCCAAAATTAACCACCACACCAACTTTATACCTTCCTAAAGAATTTTTGAAGGTTCCAGAATGATTTAATGGTAGCTAATATATAGAGTACTATAATGTGTCACACATTTTTCTAAGCACTTGTATGAGAGAAGTATTGATTTACTTTCATTTTTAGTTGAGAAAACTGAGGCTTAGAGGGATTAAATAATCGACTGATGATCACACAGCAGCAGATCTGGAATCTGAACTTGCATCTGAACTGAAAGCCATGAAATGAGCTGGCATCTACTGCCTCTTTTATCATTGTGGTGAAGGGGCAAGGGACTTTCTTTAATTGGTAATAAGCAACTTTTTTAAGGCTAAGAATTGAAGGGAGATAGATGATAGGTAGGTAGGTAGATAGATAGATAGATAGATAGATAGATAGATAGATAGATAGATGAGAGAGAGAAATAATCTTCACTGAACTCTAGACTATCATGAATACAATGTGTATATGGGGGAGAGAATGGAGTATCACCATCACTCAATAAATTCAACTTTAAGACGCCAGAAAATATCTATTGTGTTACAAAAATACCATTACAACCTCCAAATGACAGCAACGATTATATTCATTAAGTGAAGAAATTGTCTACTTTCTGGATCAGAAACCTTGAGATCTAGAACAAGGATTGGCAAACTACAGCTTTTAGAGCAAACCCAGCCCCCTACTTATTTTTGTAAATAATGTTTTATTGGCACAAGACCAGGCCCACTCCTTTGTTTCCAGAATAGTTGAGTAATTGTGACAGAGAATGTATGGCCCACAAAGCCTAAAATATTTACTGTCTGACTATATATAGAAAAAGTTATCTGTCCCTGTCTAGAGACTTCAAGGTACATACAACCCACCTGGGGATCTAGTAGAAATGCAGACTTGATTCAGCAGGAATGGGGTGGGACCCGAGATTCTGCATTTCTAATGAACTCCCAGAAGTTGCCAATGTAGCTGGTCCATAGACCATACTTGGATGTGAGCAAGTAACAAATATTTTATGTGCTTCCATTCAGAGAGGGGACATGAACTGATTTACAAAAACCTTCAGATATAACATTGCAACACTAATAATGTAGGAGGTTTATTTGCCAAATCGAAGAATTCTCCATTTTTTAAAAGGATTTTCCAGTGGCCTGCTTTGGACCATCCTCCTTCTCCTCATCTTGTCCACACTCAGAGGGACATTGTTATGGTTTGAATGTTTGTCCCCCACTAAACTCATGTTGAAATTTAATTGTCATTATGACAATATTGGGAGGTGGGACATTTAAGAGGTGTTCAGATCATGAGATCTCTACCTTCATGAATGGATTAATGTTGTCATCACAAGAGTGGGTTAGTTATGGCAGGTTAGTTATGTGCTTGTCCCTCTCCCTCTCCTTCTCTCCCACCATGTGATGACTCAGTAAGAAGGCTTTCACCAGATGCCAAAACCTTGATCTTGGACTTCCCGGTCTCCAGAACCCTGAGCCAATTACAATTACCCAGTCTCAGGTATTTTGGTATAGCAGCACAAAACACATTCAATTTCCAGACAGACCCCAGGAATATGACAGCAGGGACCTCCAGAGTACAGCACACAAGGTGATAGGAAGTGGGGAGAAAATATCCAAGCTTTCTTCTGTGTTGATATGTTGTATTGACCTTTAACAATGTCAACATTGGGGTGAGTGTTTTATAACAGATATAATATATTAGTACAGTAAGTTGTACCTGCACATCATATAAACATATAGTAAATGCATATCATTTATACATACATAAGGGTGTATGTTCTGGGGTATGCACAGAACACTCATTTGAGGCAACTGGTCTACCCGAGGCAAGCTGAGCCTGAGCTGTGCCCATATCCTGAGTCAGGCCTTGGCAGACTCTCAGCTCTGGTGCCAGCAGGCAAAGCACACTGTGTGGGCACAAGTTAAGTTATTCCTCACAGGCACAGCAGCAGGTGTTCCAGAGAGAAGGCGAGTTACTTGGAAGCCAAATTGACACATTTCAGTCCTCCTTGTGAATGTCAGCCATGCAAGGTGTCAGGCACCTGACTGAGCATTCTAGAGAGGAATGGGGGAGTGCAGTGTTGGGGAGAGAATGTGGGAGATGCCAGGGAAGGTCTCGCACTAGATCAATTACAATAATAGCAAATGTTGCTGTCATTTATTGAGTTCCTACTGCTTGTCAGCATCTAGGCTAAGCATTATTTTAAAAATTATTTCATTTAGACCAGGTGCGGTGGCTCACATCTGTAATCCCAGCCCTTTGGGAGGCAAAGGCAAAAGGATTGCCTGAGCCCAGGGGTTCGAGACCAACCTGGGCAACTTGGCAAGACCTCGTTTCTATAATAAATCAAAAAATTATCCGGGCATGGTGGCATGCACCTGTAGTTCCAGCTACTTGAAAGACTGAGGCAGAAGGAACACCTGAGCCCAGCAGGTTGAGGCTGAGGTGGCTGTGAGCATGCCACTGCACTCCAGCCTGGGCCACAGACACTCCAACTTAAATAAATAAATAAATAAATTCATTTAATCTTTGTGAAATAGGTACTCTTTTTGTCTCCCATTATATAGCGGAGGAAACTGAGGCTGAGAAAGACAAAGTGATGTGCTTAAGGATACACACAGTGACGGAGAAAGAATGATTTTTGGAAATATTAATTCTCTGTAAATGGGATGAAATCACAATGAAAACACCAGTAGATTGATTTGATTGATCTGATCTGATTTGATTTGATTTTTTGAGTCAGGGTCTCACTCTATTGCCCAGTCTGGAGTGCAGTGACACAATCATGGCTCACCACAGCCCCGACTTCCTGGGCTTAGACGATCCTCCTGCCTTGGTCTCCTGAGTAGCTGGAACTATAGACATGTGCTGCCACAACCAGCTAATTTTTAAAAAAATTTTTTTGTAGAAATGAGGTCTGGATTTGTAACCCAGGCCGGTCACAAAATTCTGGGCTAAAGCCTCTCAAAGTGCTGGGATTACAGGCAAGAGCCACAGCACTTGGCCACCAGTAGATTTTAAAATGGTAAATTCTGAGCAAAACACAGAACAGAGCTATGCCCTGACGATGACATTTGCTTTTCTTTGTGGAGCAACTACCTTGGGCGGCACTCTGTGTTGAACCTTCGCAGATGTTGTCTTTAACCCCAGAGGGACTCCAAGAGATTCTGAGAAGTGAAGGGAGAAGGGCGGAGACTGTCTCACCTTGGCTTTTCTCCATTCTTCCTCAGCAGTGGGGTCTCTGTTGCCTTCGGGGTCAGAACCATGGAATGGGGACCTTGGTGAACCAATGCTCAAAGACTCTGGCTAAACGGGGGCATTCTTTCACAGTGCAATTGTTTGACTGTGAATATGAGAGAGAGGTAAGTCCTGACCTGTCAGATCTTCAGATTTTAAACAGAAGGCAGAAATCTGGACTTCTACCTAAAAATCTCCCGATTTTATACCCTGACAGCAATTTAAAAAAATTTTTTTAAAACACTATGCAAACCAAACAAAGTACGTCTTAGGTCCAGGAGACTTTTGCACTCAACCATGACTTGTAGTCTCTTTACTTTCTTGTTCACATTTAACCTTGAGAGGGGCAAGATGCTTTATTTCCTGTGACGGGCTGGAGCATGAGCTTCGGTATTATCCTATTCTACAGAGAAGGAAACTGAGTTTCAGAGAAGCTCATGCCCAAGGTCATACCGTAGCTCAGAGGAAGGACATGGAACTAAAATGTCTCTTGATTCTTTGAGGGGGATTGGCCTTGGGCTGCCGTGCTCTCAGCTGTCACTCTGAGCTGTCTCCAGCAGGGTGAAGAGGAGGGAGGAGGAAAGAGAGGTGGGAGGAGGGGACAGGGGTCCACACAATCCATCCCAGCTCCTGGCAGACCCCGCCGAAACTAGGAGAGCAACCCTGGACCCAATCTCCCGCCGAAGAGCCTCTCCCATCCACTCAGACCAGGAGGTGGCTTTCTTGGGGCTCAGGATGCAAAGGTGGAGGCTGTGGGCTGCAGCCTCCCTGACCCTTCTCTCTACACAGGCCTTTCCACAGACAGACATCAGTATCAGTCCTGGTAAGTACAGAGACAGGGCTGGGAGCAGGTGGAGAGGGGACCACTCCTAGGGGCTTGTTCCATCAGTGAGACCTGGCTGCCTCTGTTGGGGTATTGGGGGCCATGACCTGAGTCTCCTGATAGCTTCCCCCCCCTGCCTCACCATGGGCATTTTCCTGGACCCAGACCCCAAAAGTCCTGTGTTTAAATCCCATTGATGCAGTTTACAAGAGATGGAACCTGGGCCAAGTTTCTTTTTTTTTTTTTTAATCAATATTTTTTATTATGGTTTTATGGGGTACAGTTAAGGGTTAGGTGTACAACTACATTCCATTCAGGCACCCTGTTGGGCCAAGTTTCTTAATCTCTCAGCTTCTTCTAGAAAATGGGGATCACGAGGGCACTTTCTTGGGGCTACCATGCAAGGGAGATGAAATAATGCAGGGAATGTGCTTAGCACAGTACCCAGCACTAAGGGAAGGTCTGAACACGGTGTTTGTGTGAAGGATTTGGCATCTGGGCCCCCACCCCCACCTTGGCTCTGACAGTGGTTTCCAGGGAGCTTTTTGGACCCACTGCTGTGCCAACAGTTTGAGCATCCAGGGAGGACACAGTTGTCCCTCTAATGGCCTCCCTGGAGGCATGGCCTGGAAATGCTCAGCCCTGTGGATGTTGTGGGGTATCCCCAGGGATTTGAACCTGTCAGCCTTGGACATGTGGCCTCCCAGTGTTCCACATGGAGGACGAGGGGCTTCAAATGAGCTCAGTTTCTTCTGCTTTGCAACAAGGAGGCTGGGGTGCTGATTCTGGGTGCTCCATCTAGTTGAGAAGAGCCCTGAATCCTGCAGTATCTTCATAGCTGAGGTGCTTGCCTTTCATCTCAACCAGGTTCTTTCCAGATGCTGGTTTTTTTGGGGGTTTTTTTTTTTGAGTTGGAGTCTCACTGTCGCCCAGACTGGAGTGCAGTGGCCGCTCCCAGCCACCGTAGCCTCGACCTGCTGGGCTCTGGTGATCCTTCCGCCTCAGCCTTCCAAGTAGCTGAAACTACAGGTGCGCGCTACCACGCCCAGCTAATTTTTTTGATTTATTGTAGAGATGAGGTCTCACCTGCCCAGGTGGGTCTCAAACCCGTGGGCTCAGGCAATCCACTCACCTCAGCCTCCCAAAGGCGCGGGATTACAGGCTGAGCCACTGAGCCCGGCTCAGATGCTGTTTTAAAAGCATAATAATAACAACAATTAAGACCGACATAGAGTTGGGTGTGAGGCTCACACTTGTAATCCCAGCACTTTGGGAGGCCAAGGCAAGAGGATCCCTTGAGCTCAAGACAAGCCTAGGCAACATAGCAAGACCTCATCTCTACAATAAATCAGCAAAATTAGCTGGATGTGGTGATGCATACTTGTAGTCCCAGCTACTCAAGATGCTGAGGCAGAAGGATCGCCTGAGCCCAGGATGTTGGGGCTGTGGTGAGCCATGATTGTGCCACTGCACTCCAGTCTGAGCAGCAGAGTGAGACCTTGACAAAAAGA